CGCTTTTCTGTTCAGAGAGTTGTTGCTATTCTTTTCTTCAATCTCCTGTTGAGTTTGTAGGTGTTCAGAATGGTTTGATCCCTATCCAGCTGAATTCCTGGGACCAGACGAAATCCAGGTCTCCTACTCCTCCACCATCTTGCTCCACCCCCGTCCGAGAAAGATGTTTTTATCCCTTCAAAACTGCTTCTGCTTCATTTGCTAAAATACTGATGTTAATTTTGTTATGATTGAAATTGCTAAAACTACCCAGCAAGTCCAGAGTGAAGAGAAATCATGAACGAGTTATCTTGTGTCTTATTTAACAAAAAATAATGTATACCCATGATCAAATTTACTACTTTATTCATTTTCTTTTTCTTTTTTTATAGCCTGGAATCATTTGAATGACAACAAAAATATTTTCCACTATCAAGATGCCATCCATCTGTCTCATATCTATTATAGACCTTAAGGCAATATTTAAATGATGGTGATTTCTCCGTTTGGTGTTTTTTGAGCCTGCTTATAAAATTGATAGTCCTCACTGAAAGTGCCAACTATGTCACTCTTCAATTTGGAATTTTTTTCTAAGCAATATGTGCCAGGATCTTCAGGAATATCCATATTCTTTGGTCAAACAAATCCATTTCCAATAATCTATTCTATGGAAATAAATAAGAATAGAAGATAAAACTTTATGCAAATACAAATAATGCAATATTATTTAATATTCTAGAAAATTAGAAATACCCCAAAGTTTAACTTTAGGGGAAGGATTAAATCAAGAGTAGTACATTAGTTGTAATATTATATAGTCATTACAAATTATGATACACAGTCATTACAAATTATATTTTAAGATTATGAATACTGTTAATTAAAAAAGCAGATTACAAATTTATGTTTACAATATAAACATAACCATCTAAGATAAACACCAAATAATCAAAATTTAGGAGAAAAACTCAATCTAGAAGGATTTACAGAAAAATGTCAACTGTCATTTGTCTGGATGATAGGTGACCCTTCCTACTTTTCTCTATTTCCCAAGTTTTCTTTATCATGTTTTATAATTAACACATATTTTAAAACTCATATTTTTACTATTAAAAATGTTTGCTTTTAGCCAACCTTTAAAGATATATACTTTTTCCACATGTTTTCCCACTTTGAGTATCTGTAAACATCATAAAATAATGCTTCAACCCTTCAATAAAGAAAGTATTGAGATAGAAAAGACAAAAAAAAGGGGGCACCTGGGTGGCTCAGTTGTTAAGCGTCTGCCTTTGGCTCAGGTCATGATCCCTGCGTCCTGGGATCAAGCCCCGCATGGAGCCCCGCATGGAGCCCCACATTGGGCTCCCTGCTCGGCGGGAAGGCTGCTTCTCCCTCTCCCACTCCCCGTGCTTGTATTTCCTCTCGCTGTCTCTCTCTCTGTCAAATAAATAAATAAAATCTTTGGAAAAAAGAAAAGAAAAGGCAAAAAAAGTTATACAAATTTATATAATCTAACTGAGCCTTTAACCTTATTGTCTCACTCCTGAGGATGAGTGTGGTGGGCTACAAGAGGTAGCCTTGAAATAAATGAGCAATCGAGGACATGCTCAATGGGTTAAAAAAAGTGACCATTGACCGGTTGATACCTATGTCATAGGGAGTTACCACTACCTGTATTTATAGAAAAAAAATTTTTAGTGAAACATTTAGAAACTTTCTATCTATACCCTATACTTACTATGACCTCCTTGAGAACAGCAGCTATGTTATATATTTTCCCATTCTCCTTAGGACATAGCACGAAGAGGTATAGCAGACACTCAATGTTGGATATTCATGCCAGGCCCATCTGCCCTTCATGGCTGCTCTGCTGAACACCTGTCTCCATCATAGGCCCCACTGGGCCATAACACTTCTGCCTCTTCCCTGTTGCTCTCCTCCATGAACATTGTCAACAATGTTCTGTCAAAACCTGCTCTGTACCAAAGCCGGGCAGCAGCCTGGGGGAAGAGGGAAAAATGCTTCTCTCCTTGGCACCTGCTCTGCCCACATCCTCCTTTAAAGGAAGCTGCCCTGACCGCAGCCTTTGCTGATGTGAGTGTCTTGAAAGCAAGCCATGTTGTATATCAGATGACTTCCATGCCTGGACCCAGCCAAAAGAACTGGGATGGGCACCCAAGCCATGGGCAGCCTATTGTCGCCCTACTAGCTCTGACTTAGCCAAGAGTGAAACACCATCCAAATGAGATTAGTGGTCATTCTTGTTTGAGAATTTGAACTCAAGGAAGCCAAGAAAAAAGCAACCTAATCATTGCTGTCAGGAAAATAATTAAAGGATGAGAAAGGACACCAACATACAGAGAGTATCTGATTACTCCACCCAGCCCATAAACTTGTCATATTTATCATCCACCTTTCTTAGTTCTCCCAATGACTCCTTTACACTTTACCCTCCGGTAAACAGACTTCTGGCAGGTCAACCCCACCAGTTTGTCTGACACAGTCAGACTGTCTCAACCTTGTTTAGATTCAATATGGCACCATGCCTTGAGGGGACCATGAGCAGATGTCAGCTGAACGACTCCATTGGAAACATTGCCTAAGAACATGGTTGCAGCCAAATGCAGTGGAATATTTGTATCTGTAAATTAAATATTAACACAGCAACCCCACATCTTTAATTTAAAGAGCATCTGCTAATAATGCAGGTTTAAGGGAAAAAGCTGGATACAAATCTATGTGTGCACTGTGAGCCCAAATTTTTTAATAACCATATGATTCCATGTAGACATGTGCAAACCTTCAGATACAGACAAAAAAAGACTGGAACAATACCTAAATGCTAGTAGTTAATAATTATCCTCTAATGGTTGGATTGTGACCCATGTTTCTTTTCTCTACATTGTTCTATATTTTCAAATTTTCATTTGAAAATGCGTTACCTAAATAATGAGAAAAAATAAATACCATTTTAAAAGGAAGTAGTCTCTCATCCTTTTTGTAAAATCTGCTTAAGGAGCTTAAAATAGAAAAGCACTAAACATGAAGGTAAGTGTGTGATAGCCTTTTTTCTTGTTCTTTTCATTTTCTCATTCTCAGAGAGACCGAATATTGCTAATTCTAATTGAGAATGAATTCTATTTTATGCATTTATTTTTTATATTTGCTATTTCTCTCTTATTTCCCTTGTTTCTCTCTCACTGTAATTTTTCTAACTTCTTAAATTGAATGCCTAGCTTATTAATTTCAAACTTTCTTTTTTTTCCTTAAAATAATCATTTAAGACTATACACATTTTATTTAAGTGTCAGTTTGGTTGCATCTCCCAAGTTTCAATATGTTATATTTTCCTTATTATTTAGTTATAAATTTTTCTACTTTTCTTTAGGATTTATTTTTCCATCTGTGTGTTTTTAAATGTGCTTTAAAATTCCCAAATATATGAGTTTGGGTTTTTAAAAAATAATCCAATCAAGAAATGGGCAGAAGACATGAACAGACATTTTTCCAAAGAAGGCATCCAAATG